GAGGAGCTGATTATACCGGAGTTATCGATGAAGCCATTGTAAAAGAGAAGCTACATTGTCCATCCTTCCCTATTCAGAATGCCTTTTCATTTCGAAATACATACAAGGTTGCGTACTTCAATGGCGACACGCATGTTGGTGGTTTTCTCTGACAGAAAGGTACATATTCACGAGCCAGTATTTAGTCGCCAGTACCGGCATTATAACCAGCATTTCGACAGCGTCATCTTGCGAGAAGAGATCGTTGGGAAAAGGGCAAAGCTGGCTTCAGTGATGGCTTTGAAATAGAGTCACGGCCAACGGTGGGACGCCGTTGGTTCTCGTTGGAGCAGGTGAGAAGATCAACAAGGACGTGCACACGGATGGACATATCGAGGTTTTGGTCCAATTCCCACTGTAAAAAATTCTGTGGTTCTTCCAGAGGGACGATGCTCTAACCCACAGGGCCAAGCCCGTTAAAGACTGGTGCGAGCTGCTAGCTGCTCGACCATCACCGCGACGAATGGCTTTCTCGCTCGTTAACCTAATCATTTGAAATTTTCAGTCTGACTCCTAATTGAGACGAAGGCATGTCGGGCTCGCTCCACGAATTTGAAGTTATTGAAAGCAGCGCCAAAGGAATCTAGGAAAGAATTGTTTTAAAAATTGACGAATGCCTGCGTGCAACGTAGGAAGGGTGCAAGTAGAGATTCCTGGCCTGTGTTCGTGCACGTTGAAGCCTCTTCGAGAATCGACTGCTGCATGTTGTTGTATAGGATTTTAGCATAATTATCACTTCATTATATAAACCAGAACTTTGGTGTGTCGGTTTGTCGGTGACTGTGTGTGCGTGTGTCGTTCTGCCCGTCCGGAACGACCGCTCACAAAACGAGGGAGTACGAAGGGCAACACTTTGTGATGGTGAGATCATGATAAACCCACAGCGGCTATATAAACACCGATCAAGCACACTCAGCCTCATTCTGCATGGTGCTGCCGTGGCAGCCAGATGAGCGGGAGGAGGGTGGAGAGGGGTAGAGGGAAGGGGGCAGAAAGGAGAGGCTGAAAGGGAGGGGAGGGGGAGGGGGAGAGGAAGAGGAAGGGAAGGGGGAGAGAAGAAGGAGTATAAGGAGGTATAACACATTTAATGGTGAGGTGGTTAAAGGGGTATAAGGAGGTATAACACATTCAATAGTGAGATGGGTAATGGAGCACATCATGCTACTATTCCGTTGTTCCTCCATACCCTGGGATGCGCGCGATAGCGGGCGGAGCAAACCTGGTGTTCAGAATAAAGTATCATTTGGGCTTACAAGTCCAGAGGGCATTGCAATGAACAGCAAGTAATTTTGGTGCATTTCGCGCATAGCAGGATAAAGTTAGCGCGGAGAAACATACTATTTTGGTGCATCGTTTTCGGACCACCAAAATCCTTCGAGAGTCGTTGAATTTCTAGAACATGCCTTACGACGAGCATAAAGGTGCAGACAACCAAGCTGGCGTACTATGCGAAAAGATAGCCAGCTAGTTCGTTGCGTTCACTAGCTCTCCAGTTTCTCGAAAACCTTCGTCAGAATATTTTTCATAACTACACTAGAACCTTTCACGTGCAGGCTAAACAGAGTATCAACCAGAAGACAGTTGAGGGCATGCCCCCCCCCAATCCACGCCGCACCGGTGGTTCACTCTGCTCAGGGTTGGCTCTTTATTTGAGATATTTGAGTATCTCTGTGACTGGCAATCGCGCTTCACCCAACGCCATCGAATATGGATCTGGCAGACTATTCGTTATTTGCCAGAGCGTTTCTTATGCGATAACAAAACGGCACATTTTCAAGGGATAGGAAGATCAGGAATAATTAGGTATAAGTAAGACATGCCTCAATCCCGAATCAGCTAAAAAACGGGTTGACTTCTTCATGTTCCCGTTGGCTCCCTCTATTTCCTTTAACCCTTAGACTACGACTTTTTTTTGAATCGAGTTATAAATGTGTTCTGCGTTGCAATTATCCCTCCCAGCAACATTATATGGTCTATGAGTGGTACGGAGTAAAACATGATATACACAAGGGCCCGTTGCAAGCAGCAGACATATTTTTTGTACGAGTTTCTCTCTTTGACATCGCGCAGTATCTACCTCGCCGACGCGTTTTTGACTGTAGAGGCATATGGTCCCCAACGTTGGTGATCCTCCTGGAATTTTTGGGTGGCCTTCCCATGCCGGGCTTGCGCCTGTTAGCCATCCTTTCAATCCCCTGCGCAGTCATTTCCTGAGCGAGAGGAACAAGGAATTTGATCAGCTTCGTTTTCTCGTGATGAATTTCCTAATATATTATCCATGCGTTTACAACCGCCACCTGTAGTATTTTATGGTACACCTTACCACCATTTTCTGGAACGTTTGAAGTCGTAAAGTGGACATTTCTGATCAGACAGTTCTACTCCGCCCATTATGCTGTTGCGGAAGGAGACAGCTTAAGGGTATTCAACTTCTTTTCGCGATCCATCCTTCATTGTGCGCAACACATGCGTTGTAGTCAGCGTGACAATTGCTGACTACCAGGACTCCTTGCAGCCTTTCCAACAGCACACAGCGTACCAGCCCATTTACCGCAAACTCAAAGCTGCCACGTTCGCCAAGCTTTTCTGAAAACTTGGGAACATAGTAGGACTTGCGAAGCCTCTATATGTGCACAGTTTAGCCATCAAATGAGTCCTCCTACCTCAATATTCCCTGGAACTGTGGTAGTGTCTTCGACTACAAAGTGGGACACATGTGTCCCATCAGTAGTCAAAGGGTTAAATGACCATCCAACAGATTCACAGGCGATAAGGAGTGGCTGCTGACGCCTAAATAATTCAAAGGCGGCTGAGAGTCCAGCTCCAGCATTTTGGAATTTCTGACTGCTAAATTCGGTCTCGTCAAGTCTCGGCTGGAATCCCGTCAAAAATTCAGGAGTCCTGAATTTTTGACGGGATTCCAGCCGAGCAGTGAAAGCAGATACATTCAGCTGTTACAGACAATGCGGAAGTCAAACGTTCACAGGTTTATCGCAACGCCTCTGGGGGAGGACAAGGAAAAAAATCTACATTTGCTGACACGGCTCAAGCACCGGTCAACAGTTCACAAGCCAGCAGATGCCACAAGATTATAAGTTAAGGAACATAGGATGTATACCGTAACCCACGTTTGCGTCAGAGCGCGGTTGCGGGCTTTCCAGTGCACAATGCCAGCACTAGTGTGAGAGCGGTCAACGACGCCGCCTCTGCTGTTCGGAGGTAAGCAAACCAGCCCTTTTGGCGTTTTGACTGGGACCGTATGCTGAATGTTGGGTAGGGGATGGGAACCCCAGCGGTCGACGGTTTACTTCAACTCGGTTGGTACGATAGGAGAGTACTGACGCAAGTGGTGCAGCTGACCTAGCAGCTCCGCCAGAACGTCTGGCTTGCTCACCCCAGGACTAAGCCTTAGAGAGGGGACGGACCCGTCCTCTCTTTAAGGCTTAGTTCTGAGGTAAGCACCAAATGTGTCGGTTTCAGGGACCGAGTTGAAGTGGTCCCTCTACCGTCGGAGACTCCATCCCCTCCCCAACATTCAGCACACGGTCCCAGCCGAAGCGCCAAAAGGGCTGGTTTGCTTACGTCTGCTGTTCGGGGCAGCAAACCCAAAAATGGAGCGACGTCGCCGCTTGCGCGACGAAGCCGAACACCGTCGCAGCGTCCGGCTCGCCCCCCGCGCGATGGGACCGAACAGCCCCGAATGCCGTTGCGGCGTCCGGTGCAGCGCCTGCGCGACGAAGCCAAGCACCGTCGCAGCATTCGCCTAGCCGCTTGCGCGGCGAGGCTGAGCGCGCGCGCGCTCCGCGCGCGAGCACGGATAGGTGATCCCCGGGGTGCCGCCCCATCCGAGGTGTGGCGACAACCGCTCGCGTTGTGTCCTCCACCTCCCACATAAGGCGCATAGTATTCTCGCGGCTTGCTCGACGCATTCTCTCTTCGTTGAGAGGGTGCTGAGAAGACGAAAAATCGATGACACGTGAGAATGCGCGCCCAGTGCAACGTCGAGAAGGTTACGGTATACACCCTATGTCCTGAACTTATAATCTTGTGCAGATGCCCACCTGCCCCTCTCACGAATCTATCTCATGAAAAATAAATCTTACCCTAAGTACCGCGATCTCAAAACGACATTTGATTTTCTTTCGACCAGAAGTTCAAGGAGTTCTACAAAAATGCTTCGAACACTAACCAACGCAGGCGATATGCTGTTAGTAATGCTGGTGCATACTATGGAATAGTAAGGAGAAATAAAAAAAACACGTTAACGTGGTCCGAACATTATGCGGCAACCTAGTATTTCGCCCAAGTTAGGAAACCACTCGATGCAAATTACATGCCATCCCCCCACCCCTAGACCACTTTTATTGTCTTTCGAACACACATACACTTTGCACAAAGCGATCATTGGAACAATCTCATGTTGTATCGAACGCGTTGAAGCGCCGCGTACTCAATATTCAGCGGCATCCAGCTCGAGCGCTCTACTCACTAATTTCAGCATTTTTCTAACTCCATTCCGCGAGATGAAACTAGATCCTGCTCGTCGAAGATTCCTTGACGAAGGCTTACTCTGCTTCAAAGGCGGACTTTTACGATGAAAAGGCAGTACCTCAGAAATTAAACTAACCCCCTCCCTTGGCCGCTGATTCCCGCATCAATGCTACTCTAATCGGTATTGCTCTCCTCAATGCTAACGCTCCCTCTGTAACGGCTAGAGTCTCAGACAGCAAGGGGGGACGTCGGATAGGGCGCCAATAAGGCCACGGTGAAGGCCATGCTGAGTGGCCGGAGGCATATCGCTCGATGTGGATTGTGCTTTGGTTCGTACCCTTAAGAGATCCACCTGTCTCCTCAGTAGGCAGGTTTCCCCTTCTTTGACCTTCCTGCTATCGTAACCCTCCTTGAAGTGCCTTCGAACACATTGCATTTTCCACAAAATCACCTTTACAGTAATCTCCGCAATGTGCGTTGCTGTTCATGGTTCCAAATTAGCCTGCTATATCGGAACGCAGGGAGTTACGAAGAACCTGCAGGAAAGAGTTGCACCGGTAAGACTGGTTTATCTATCGAACACTGTTCACTTTGAGCCTAGCTGGGCGCTTATTAGCAGGGTGTTGATAAAGAAACTCAAGTTTGAAACTTTACGTGATGTGTTAATGATGTGGGAGAGTGCGAAACAAACTGTTGAAGAGGTCTCAAAGAAGAGCCCTTCCTTCTTCGTATTTGTTTTAACGCATTTGTTTTTACGTAACCCAGCTTTTGCACAAGCTTAGGTCGGAATATGTTGGCGCCTGGACAGCGATAAGAGCCTCGTTCTTCTTAACGTTCATCACACGTAGTCGCAAGGTCTGACTGTTTTTTCAAGGCGAAGTTTACTTCACAAGGCAGCCCATTGGAGCTAAAGGCAGGGGTCGAGAACAATTTGATGTGCTAATCCCACTCGCATGCGAATTAGGGATGTGAAGTGGACCACCAGTGTAGAGAAAGGAAACAACGTCGAAAACGAAAATATAACTTTTACTCCACGCTGCGAAGGATGCTAACTAGGAATCGTCAATTGGTCAATCCGGCAATTTGTCTTGCACGTGTCTTAGAACGCTAACCTTAAAGGAATCCTCCACGGAAAAATCATGATTCTATTTAAAGCCAAAGGTCGGGCTCAGCCGCGCTACAGGAGTAATTCCCGTGCCCGGAGGTTGTACGTGACTAGCTGCACACATTGCAGCAACGTCCCACCTTGAAAAACGTCGTTAGGCCCCCGAGGCCGTCGGTTCAATCCGGGACCGCCCGCCTTCGGAAGTGGTGCGTGGCTGGCATAACGTGTGAATCAGCTAGGTTGATTGCCGTATCAGCCGATAGAACGACTGATATCTTCAAAAACTTGTTTGTACGTGCCTCTTTCCCAAGCCAGCCTCCTTCACTGCTAATGGGAAAGAGGGTTTCGTTAACGACCTCGTCGACGGTTTCTCTCAATTTTTTCTCCATTGCCGTTTTACTTCACATCTCTATACTCAGTTTCAATCGCCATAATACCCCCTTATTGAGCCCGATTTTTGCCTTTAGGCTATAATTCACTGGCTTGAGACCCATCATCGACGATAAGAATGAAAGGAACAGAATGATTGTTTTTACTTTGGCAAAAAATTCGAAAAATCGAAAGGGCTGCTACGCGTTCAAAGTGCCCACGGACGTCTTTCACAAATGCTGGCGACGGGGATGCTTCCACTTGGATCTTCAAGTGCCGTCACTAGAAACTCTTTCCGGAGTTTTGACTTATTGCAATCACATCTCACACTTCTACTCCATCCTATTCTATCGATCGATTTGTCTCTACTCTCCGAAATCGTGCGCTTTAACCCGATTCTTTCATTGCGTAGCCTCTCGAAGGCCAACTTCTTCCCATGCCTCACCTTCGGCTCCGCCCAAATTACCTTCGATGTCCATAGAATGTGGTTTTTGCAGGTTTGTTTCTCTTCGGGAACCGAATCTTCACGCGTGAAATTTGTGTGCTGTTTCTACTGATCACAATTGACACACATGTCAAGAAAGAATGCAAGAATTTTCCGCGAAGGATTCCTTTGAATCTGTTTTCGGTATATGCGGTCAGATTCCCTGAACGTAGCTACGAGGGATATTTTTCTCAATAGGGCTTTCTCGATGTGGCTCCATATCCCTTTTGGATCGCGTAAGACGATCCGGAGAGGCCTTCTCCAGCCGGTTACAGCCGGTCTGGTGGTGTGCTGGACACTTATCTTTCTTCATGTGGGTGAGATCATATGTACGCATGGGTGAGTTTTGCTTTTTCACAGGGCTTTTCACGTGAGTCCAGAAAGTATTGATATTTGGGCGCTTATCCAGTGAGATGGGGTATCATTATGGAATTGTTCAAGGAAGCTACGATGGTTCTAATCTTGTTCAGTGACTTCCTCGACCACACAATGTTACTTGTTTCGTGATAACGTTATCTCGAGTCTATTTTAGCCTGAAAAAGTGGGTCACAGTGGTGCATGGTGGTCTGCTCTAATGCCACTTTGCTCAAGGATTCCTTTGAAGTTACTGCTGCTGCGGCTTCATTTCTAGTCACAGAGCAGATATGGAACGGTATCTGCTACCGATGGGCCGGCGGATTGAAATCGTATGCCCTAGTGCCGTAGTGGAGCGCTCCGAGATGCTAAGTTGTCACAGCCTCCACAATTGCCGACCCAGCACCTGCACCTGACGGATATAGTTCCTCAGAGAGGATGAGTTGGACCTTTGCCTCCAAGGTGATCACTGGTGCCGGCATGAAGGGCAAATAATGCGAAAGACCCAATATCGGGACCTTTTCCTTGCTAATTAATTTCCACAGTGATGCGCCTCCCATCAGCGCTGCCCTTTAAACGCTAAATCTCTCTCTCTGCTGAACGATGAGAATTGCTACGAGTGGTTAGCCAGTCGGTGGGCGCGCCGCGGCCATAACGTCGTGGCACGCCCACCGTCGCGGCACTTTCCCCTTCCTCTATTTTTGACCTTACCGGTTCAGCAACTGCTGCTTGTATTTCGAGAAGAGCACAGGAATGGTGAGGTTTACGCTTGAGAAGCACATCTAGGTTGCCTTCTGACAATACCTCGGCTCCTCAAAAAAGCCGATTTTTAGTTTTTAGTACATGTTTCTGTCTCAATGTTCACTCTGCAGGATGGATATTTTTGTACGTTCACGGTGGACTCTCCGTGTAATTTCAAGAGTACTTATAGATATGAGATGAAGCCCAGCGATAAAGTGAGTGAAGACCATTTGTCTTGAAACTACAGATCAAGTAAGAGCAATAATATCGAATTTCTGTTGGAGTAAAAGTATCGTTTTCGAGTGAAGGTCCCGGGATAGTATCCAAGTTTGTTGTTTTCTGCAGCCTCCGAGATTGATACAGACGTTTATTTGACTGACGTTTCGGCTGAATCGCCTTTTTCGAAGCCTGTAAAGAAAGTCGAACATATTTGTGAAACCCAATCATTCGAATGCTTCTCGAATTACACGAAAAAACCCCTAAAGGTTGGGAAATCATTAGCGGTGCCGGGAAACCTGACCTTGAACGACGACGGAGCTGTAGGAGGCACCCTTAGCTGTAAGATTTTTGGCGGAGTTTTTATATGTGTTTGAGCTTCCCAGGTCAAAGGGCTAGAAGGGACCCCCAAAGTGAAAAATGTTACTTGAGGCCAACAGAGGGTCGGGTCACTGCTGATGGCCGCGCTTTGCCCTAGTTGTTGATTTTGGGGGGGGGGGGCTTGGAGAATTTTCAAGCGTGAGCCCCTACCTCGGCGCAGCCGTGGGGGTATCGATTACGTAGCTCAAAACCACCTAGGTCCGCAAATGGCGCGAGCTCTCTAGTGACCGCCACGCACTCCTCCTTCCTGTTGATCTTATGATCCTTGGCTGCGATCCACAACGCTTCTTGGGTCCTGCGCACCGAGATATCCTGTTCAAGTGACAGGATCGTGACCTTGATTATCTTCTCCGCGTTTTTATGGTAGAACACCCTGTGGTCACCTGAAGGAGTGGCAGTTCTGGACTTTTTCAGCCCATCCAAGTACTCCTTGATCTTGACACGAAGTGGTCTTCCTGTTTCCCCTACATACCTCCCCCAGTTGGCATGTTATCAAATAAACGACTCCTGAGATCATACAGTCTCCTTCCTTCCCAAAAGGACAAATCACGCAGGAGGGTGTTGGGCATCATCGTCATAGAGTCGATTTCGGACCAACTGCTTCTTGGGGTTTTGTGGAGGAATCTTGACAATTCTTGCGGTGTTCTAGAGATCTGCCTTCGAATAGCAGCGCTCATCTCGTCTGAAACGAAGGGTTTACAGAGAGCTATTTTAGCTCGTTCTCCCTCTTGTCCATGTGCAGTTCCAGTACGTTGCCCATGCCGATGCCGTGTAGGTTGGCCACAATTAGTGTAGCCGTTTTCTTTTCAATACGTTGAGCCAATGATATCGACTCTGACCTGTATGCGCCATCAGACGAAACTGCAGAGGCAATTTTCAACATATTTTGGATGGTGGCCTTTTTGTTATCAGATGGGTGCGCTGAGCAACAGGATAACGATGTTTTTGTTACTAGGTTTCGGAACCACCTAGTTTTTGTATACCCTGCGAAAACTGTATTTGAACTTTGAGGAAGGAAACCTAAAAGGATTAGCTACAACCTCGAAGATTACATCAAACAAAATCACCATGTATGGTCAACCTGTGTCAGCTCTACGAAAGAAAGAGGATAGAAATGAAATCCTATAGCAAAATCACTGATATGGACATTTAGCGTAGGGTTCTGCGAAGCGTGCTACCATGCTCATTAGGCGTTTTGATTGAAACCAGAGAAGAGAAATCTAACGAAATTCAGGGGCAAAGCTTGGCTTTGTTGAACAATTTTTTATTAAAATAATAAGTAACTTGTTCCTTTCAGACCGCGTTTCTTAGGTAATGAGCAGTTTAACTTTGATGGATCAGACTGCTGTTCACTTGTAAAGAAACGTCGGCCAAGATTCGACTTCCTCCTACAAAATTTTCGTGATCGTTTCCTAAAGATGTGGTGATGCGTAACCTCATCCTGAGTTCCAGACCTGAAATTTCGCTTCTCTGGTTTCAATCAGAACGCCTAACGGGTATGGTAGCACGCTTTGCAGGACCGTACGCTAGTTGTCCATATCAGAGATTTTGCTATAGGATTTCATTTCTATCCTTTTTCTTTCGTAGAGCTGACACAGGTTGACCATACATGGTAAATTTGTTTGATGTAATCTTCGAGGGTATAGCTAATCCTTCTAGAGAACTTCTGGTATTCATCCTGGTGCATTCCTTTTTCTATTCGTAGTGAGGATTTGGAGCACCAAGCTGTGGTTTTCTTTGAGCTCCTAAAAATGGCTTCGATACTCATGTAGAGCCATCAGACGCGTATAAAAAGAAAATCTGGCTTTCACTCGTGGAGGGAAAGGGTGCAACTCAAACCGTAACTCTAATAGAATTACCATACACCGGACAAGTGCTACCATGTTGCTGGATGGATGAAAAATTCAACTGTGAGACTTCCGAGGGGTGTCCTATGATTTTGCAACGACTACAAAACTAAAAAAATTGTCTAAAGATACGAAAAACCATTAGAATGATCTGGCTACTTGTTTGTGTAGGTTTTTTCATAGAGCCGGTTCTGATTCTAACAGTTGCGATAGACGGCTTTTTCTAGAAGCCGAGATATTCATATTTTTGGGGGTGTCCTATGATTTTGCAATGCCTGTACTTATCAAAAGATTTTCACATCAATACATGTGAAGTGTATCAAAAATTATGTGCCGATCTACTTCTAGGTCTTGCGCATTCTCTGTAACATGCTAAAAACTGTTGAAAAACCGTTCCAAGTCTCAAAAGTGTTTCCTGGTGAATGGCTGTCATGTATTTAATTCGGTACTAGCTGAGGAACAATCTGAAGAAGCCGGGCAAAGGGATTGATGGGAGGGACTCAAAATTTTGGAGCTTTTCCGTTTTTATTTAGCGCGGCTGGCCGACAAGCAACAAAGTCGGTTCAAATTTACAATAAAGTCGAGTGGGAATTATGATGTCTCATATAGCTTCCCAAAATCAGAAATCATCACTGGAAAATAATAAATGGCGCGCCAAATGTTCGGAGAGCTATGGCGCTGGACTTGCTTCGAAATTGTTGAGGTTCCAATCTTTGGCGCGTTCTTTTTCAAAAAATATGGTATTTTTCAATTATCATATTCGGCTTTGGGGAATTATGTAGCACATCATAATCTACACTTGATTTTATACTTCAGGAATGTTCTGTTCCGGAGTCTCATGTTGATCTAAATGTTTTGAAGTCACTGCTTTCTTGACGTATCAGGCTTGACATAGACGCTAAGCGCCGAAAGCTCACCAAAAAAGACCTGAGCTTTTACAAAACTTTTGCAATCACACGCATCTGCAACTTCTCTTGTAAAAAGTTTTGGAGTCTTTTGCAATGAATTTTTGAAGTCTCACATTGCTAAATACGCATTTAGAACTTGATTTTATATTTCTTGTTCAAATTCGAGGCTATTTTCCTGTTTATTGGCTGCAATAGTTCAAAATTCGAAAAAAAAATTGAAAAATTTCCAAGCTTTCAACCGCAAGTGTAGTTGGGTTCTTGGGCCGATCATTTTCGCACCCTACATTTTTCAAATTGAGAATGCTGACGGCCACATTCATGGTGACCAGCCAATTATCATGACAAGGTGAGATACACTACGCTCGAAGCCAATCTTAACTGAAATCTCACTCTGTACAAAATGACTTCACCAATTGCTCTCAATTCGTGCTTTAAAAGGCGTTGGGCACCAAAATTCGGTAGAATGCAGGTGAATGTATTCCGCTATGTGAGGCTTTAGTTGTTTCATGTTTTTTGTTCTGGCGAGAGCCTTGTAATACATTTGAATGATCTGAATTTTTATTATGACAACCAAAGCCTCACAATGCCGGAAATGTATGGCTTACGACGGCACCATGCTTACATTTCAGCAAAAGGATTTCTGCGACACTAAACCACCATTAACGTGCTATTGTAATCAAAGGCCTTTCTGTAACGTGGATTACCGGAGAATGAAGGTGTGTTCCAGTATATCATGTTGTATTTCGGTAAATCACGCACATCTTACGATAACCTGACTCGAGTAGTGGGTGCAAATAAACCCTACTTAATACAAATGATTCGCTAAGTATGTCTGCTGTGTGTTTGTGTGCATGTGTTTATGTGTGTGTGCGTATGTGCGTATGTGTGTATGTGTAAATGTGTATGTGTGTACAGTGCTCGCTATATAACTTCGGAAGTTCACGCAAAAAACTCGATCTCACGTTTTTTTTTCGTTTTTCATTATAACTCGCTTTAAAATTAAGTATTTCAAAATCCGAAGATACCATTGCATCAAGCTCGTCTATATGCCATGCACTCGGTTCAGTCTCGAAAAAAAATGCTTGTATGTGGTGCGCATATAATCCCGCTTATGCAACATGATTGCTCTTCAGAGAGATGGGTGTCAACGATTGCCCCAGATGTGCCACGCATGCAATACCGTCCATTTTGTTGTGAATTGATCGATTACGTTTTTCCAGATTTCATGGTCCCTACTTCATTTTGACGCGCTGGATGACTGAAGAAAAGTCCCAGCGCTCAACATCTCCTTCTCTCTCATTCAAATGGAAATTCTAGACCAATTCTCATCAGGATAGTGGGCCTATTTGGTGAAATTTTCCAATGTTTAAGCGGAGGTTCCGCCGCAATCTGAGGTGTAGGCGACGAAACCTCTTCACTGTTGTAGATTACGTTTACTTGTGTGTAGGAACAAGTAATAATAATACATGATACCAGACGAACTTACAAACCTGGAATGTGCCCCGTTAGATTCCCCGTGAAAAACGCTATCGAGTGATATGCATCACTACTCGCGACTGAAACTTTGGTTTCAATCGTTTTCGGGCATCTCCTTTACTGCCGACAGACTACACTAGCCCCTGACGGCCACGTGACCCACGTGCACGGTGCGTGATGCAGTCCCCACGCTCGTGCAACAGCAATCGCGAGTATTCATCGCGATGCCCGTCATTTGCGACCGAAGGCTATCGGCCGTCACGTGAGCTGTCACGCACAGGCACGTGGATCGCACGTGGCCGTCAAGGGCTAGCGAAGTCGGTCGGCAGCAAAGGAGAGGCCCGAAAACGATGAAAAAAAAACTACCAAATTTTGATTGCGGGCAGTGATGCATATCATTCGATAGCGTTTTTCGCGGGGAACCTACCGGGCACATTTCAGGTTTGTAAGTTCATTTTTAAATGCAAAAAATCTGATCTATTCACAAGAGCATGACGAGGAGAGATGTTCGCGGCCACACTACGGAAGAAGCGCTCACCTGCAATCAAATAAGTCATCTTATTCATACACACATGTAAGCGAACTCTAAAGCAGTGGAGAAACTTTGTCAATACCTCACAGATTTCGGCGAAACCTTCTCTTGAACATTGGAAAACCTCACCAAATAGGCTTGCTGTCCTGTGGGTTGATCTAAGATTTCCATTGAACGCGAGACAAGGAGATGTTGAGCGTAGGGACTTCTGGTTCAGTCATTCAGCGCATCAAAATAAAATAGGGATCATGAAATCTGGAAAAAGTATCCGACCAATTCACAATGAAATGGACGATACTGCATGCGTGGCGAATCTAGGGCAATTGCTGAGACCCATCTCACTGAAGAGCGACCATGTTGCATAAGCGGGATTATATGTGCACCACATACAACCAATTTGTTCTCGAGATGAAGTCGAGTGTATGGCGTAATCTTAGTTGGGGCTTTCCAAAAAGTGAAAGCATATTCTTATAGATCTCGACGAACTAAATTCAAGTGTATCTTATGGTTCTGAAATGCTTAATTTCAAAGCGAGTTATACTGAAAGAAGAAAAAAACGCGATATCACGTTTTTTGCGTGAATTTTTGAAGTTATATGGCGAGTGCTGTATGTGTGTATGTGTTTATGTGTGCGGTGTGGTGTGGTATGTATGTGTCACGAAACTCATAACACGCGTCCAATTCTCGTCAGGGGTTGATTTCAGGACATGGTATAGCGGGTGGGATGGAAACATATTTGGAGGGTGATAGAAGCTGATAGCAACTGATAAAGTGCTGAGCGAAGTGATGCGTAGTCTTTCGAATACATATGATGTAGAGGGTGGGGAGGTATTAGTGGATGTCAAAAAGGGACAACAGCTGATAAGCACTGATAAGATCAGCTTGAAAACGGTGGAGTCACTCAAGTTGCTCACTAGATGAGCGATAATCAAACAATCCTTTTCATTCGCGGTGCTGTCTTTAGCCTGAGATCCGACCGCTAATTTCCCTGAGGCTCTCAAGATGGTCGGTATTTCGGAAATGTGTTGTTGTTGTGTTGGTGTTTCTTTCAGAGTTCTTTGACTTCAGTACATAAATCAGCTTTAAAACTAGGATATGGTATCCTTGTCTTTGTAAAACTGTCCACTAGTGAGTCAGTTGAAGAAGAAAGTTAGTTGCTGCAAGCTTGAGAATTCACTTTAGACCACCTTAGAGAATGAGTTCAGCGAAGGAGGGGCTTTCTCGCTTCTCTGAGGAGTATTATGCCTACTTTTATCGGGCGGCAGCCTGTGGGAGGAAATGAGCACCATGTAAGAAGGCCTCATTTTGTACCCACGCGTAGCACTTGTTTTGCGATCGTGCCATCACAAAGTTTTTCTTTCGCAAGACGTTCGAGCTCTCCAGTTCTTTGGTAAGAAACCATGCAGAGGCAAAAAAAATGTATGACATGGGTTGGACGCGCTTGCGCGATGCACGTCCCATGTGGCCTACAGAGTTGTGTGCATGGGCATCTTCTGTCGTCACTATGTCCAAGATTTTTGAACGAAAGAGGAGAACGCTGTAACTGATTCAACTCGTACTTCATATGTCAATGAAATTTTATTTCTTGCAATGAACATCTTCAAATCATCATTATTTCAGCATGTCTGGGACAAAGACGCAGCAAAAGTATCTAACAGGTCAATAAGAGTATGCATGGAAAATTTTTTGAACAAAAGTAGGTTTTTTTGATAGGATAATTCCATTGCCTTCTCTAGGTAATGGAGGTGCAATTCAATTTCTTCACTTCATGCTTTTTTTCAATATTCTGAGTAATTATCAACCATGCTGCCATTATCAATCAAGGAGGGTAGCTAAGGCGTGAAATGTTTTTTACAAGCGCGCCAGACGTCCTTGTACCAGAAGAGTAACATTTTTGCTTATCAACAGATCAAATCTGCTCGAATCAAAATTTTAACCCTGTTGGTGTGACGCGTGGTCCTGAGTTGTGATCCAGTAGAGAAATTCGTCTAAATAAACTGCAACACTGTGGAATCCGCACCAAGCTTGTACAGCTGCATGCTGTAGTCGCTTGCGGGAATAGGTACAGGTAGACGTATCAAAAACGGAGGAGTCACAGAAGTTTTTAGATGCGTGACAAGAAAATGTTTTGATTCATTCGCGACGCCGTCCTTAGCTTCAAGACCTATTTGACCGCTTATCTGCCCAACGGTCTTTCCTCGACTTTCTCAATGAGGAGTTACGATAAAAACGAAGCTTAAGGAAGTGGAAAAGTGCATAGTTGTGAGGCGGGCCTCCTGAGGATGTTAACCGAAGCGCAGTTGGCAGCGAAAGATTTGGCCTCGGCGATCTAGCATGGCTATCTCTTGGCGCAGCCAGTAGGGTATACCCACCGACCATCTAATCACTCGCCGCAGTTCTATATAAGGCGTTTAATTAGACAGAGAGAGCGCAGTGGAAAGGGTCCACCGATGGGAGTCGCATCAATGGGGAAATCAGCTAGCAATGAAGAGTCCCACATCTTGGGTTCTAAGTCACTTTTCTCGATTTTTTCTCCTCTGCACCCTGATCATCTCTATCCTATTTCGAATGGGCTGCTTTTCTTCGTAAATTTTGCACCTGTACAAGAGCTTGAGCTAAGTTTCAGCGAAGCTTACTTTGTTATGGGTGCGGTAGCCAGGTGAGGTATAGTACGTTAGGTTATTTTTGAACATTTAAATAACCTCTTCGATATTTTCACTTAATATCTTTTTCAGTGATATATGACGATCCAAACAACACCGACTTGGTAATTGTTTTACTTATTAACTTTTTTTGGAAATGGGTGTAATACATTAATAAGTTTTCATTTTCAGGAATACTTCACACTCACAAAGCCGCCAGGTATCTGTTCTCGCCGCCTGGAATTCGTTAACGCTTGTTTCTTTTCTGGTAGACCCGAAATGCTCACTGTTTATGGCTCTGCTTACATAAGCCGAAAGCTGACGGCATGTCGTGCAAAGCACAACAAATGTGGGAGACTTACGAGATATTAGGTCGTCCCATAAGTAGTGTCGGTTTTATTCAAACAAAAAAAAACTTTCTGCTAAAGTTCCATTGATTTATATAAAGTCATGCACCACGTGAAATAGAATTGCCTAGCCTACAAAGGCGTGTGTTTCGCCTCCACTTCGTTGCTGACTTTTTGAATTTTGGGCCTGCGAAATGGGAGACAGAGCAGATATATATTACCCAAACAGACCACTAGTTCAAACTAGATTGTTCCTCAGAAGAAATCCATCGATAGCGTATCCTTTACTTGTTTAAGTTTTTTCCCAAAGGAACCGCTATTACGTTGTCAAAAAAGCCCCGCCGTATTTCTTTTCGAGTTTTGTTTTTCTGGTTGGCCGATGAGCCATAGTGATTTACGAGCTGAAATACTTCCTTTGAAACCCCATAATTTTACATCAATTCAATTTTACACATACCACTTGTGAGCACCCTTTCTGCCCGATTCGTTCATTTGTTTCGTTTTGTAGTTGCCGCGAGTCAAATGGGAATTAGGGTGCTCAGTCCAGGAAAATAACCACATCACTTTACAAAAGAAATTCCCGTGGAAAATGGAAAGAATTAACCGGACATGCATATGCATTCTTCTTCTTCTTCTTCTCCTTAGCGTTAGTCCCGCGCAGTCGCAGGGTCCGCTGTTTTTGTTAGCCGTCGCCACTTTGCTCTATCCAGCGCATATTCCATCGTGGCCGCGACCTCACCTGGGTCCTTCTTGATTACGTCTTTCCACCTTTTCTTCTGGGCTCCTCGCGGTCGCTTGCCTTGTACTTCGAAGATCATCGCTTTCTTGTCGGATGATCCTGTGTCCTCCTTAGCACATGCCCATACCATCGCAGACGCTGTTCTCGTACCGTTAGTTGGACAGGGGCAGTCTGCATGACCGCTCTGACGTCCTCGTTCCTAACCTTTTCCAGCCACGTCCAGCCGCAGGCCCATATCAGCATCCTCATTTCGGCAGAGTGGAGCTGCCGTTCGTGATTCCTGTTCAAGGCCCAGCAATCGCTGCCGTAGAGCATCGCAGGCCTCACCACTGTCTGGTACACCTTCCCTTTGAGCGCTATAGAGCACCTTCAATCGCAGGGGATTCCAGTGGACTCTTTCCATTTCATCCATGCAGCGTTGACCCGAGCCTTCACCGTCTGATCCACGCTACCGTTGGCTGCCAGATCTCTCCCAAGGTATCGGAAGTCCTCCACCCTTTCGATGGTCTCGCCATGGCCGTCCACGATCGGCTCTGCACCCTGTTCGGAGCTCAGGAACTTTGTCTTCTTGACATTCAACCGTAGCCTACCTTCTGCCAGGACTTTCTGCCATTTCTGCACCTTGGCTTGAAGTTCCTCTCTGCTATCCGCTATCAAGGCGACGTCGTCAGCGTAGAGGATAGTCTTTAGTGGTCCTTCCATGAGTCTCTTCACCAGGCCATCTAGTGTTAGGAAGAAGAGAAACGGGCTCAGAGCTGGCCCTTGGTGCACCCCGATGTCCACCTCCTTCGTTAGGCCGTATGGGGTGCGTATGGCTGCCTTGGCTCCTTCGTACATATCCTCACCAGAGAGATAAGGTGTTCTGGCACGTTTCGTTCCCTAAGCGACCTCCATAGCACTGCTCTCGGTAGTCGGTCGAACGCCTTTTCCAGGTCGAGGAAGGCTAGGTAGCAAGGCCTGCACTTTTCGCGATACTTCTCCATCAATTGCCTAGCGATGAAGATGGCATCCGTTGTAGACCTTTCGGGCATGAACCCGAACTGTTTCTGGAAGATCGGGACCAGCTCCCGCAGCTTCTTATCGACCAGCCGCTCGTACAACTTCAAGGTGTGCGCAGTCAACTTGATCCCGACTTAGTTGGAGCATTTCATCGCGTCGCCCTTCTGTTTGAAGATGAGGACGATGGTACTAGTCCTCCATGCATGGCATCTTTCTTTCCACTGTTACCTTGTTCAGGAAGCTGGTGAGCCACCTTATGCCGTAATTTCCAAGCACCCTCCATGCCTCGATTGGCATCCCATCTGGACCAACCGCCTCAACCTCCATCCTCCCAAGTGCCACCTAACCTCATCCTTAGTCCAGAGTGCGATGGGAGCAGCTGTGGATTCGTGAGTTGTTTGTGGGAGAACCATCGTTCACAAGTGCACCGTATGGCGCCGTTGTTGCTCTTCACGCTCTTCACCACCCTGATATCTTGAGTAGCCCGATGCCGGGCTTCGGCCAGTCTGAAGACGAACTTTTCTGCGTTTCTGCTTTCCAACTTCTCGTACAAGACGTCCATCTCCGTGTTCTCTGCCTTGGTTACGGCGGCCTTAGCGAGCCTCTTGCAAGTCTTGTAGGCAGCGAAGGTCCTCGGGGCTCCGGGTCTTCCTGCCAGCCGCTTGTACGCTTCCTTCTTCTGCTTCACGAACTCGCTGAATCCTCTCGTTCCAGAACCACGCTGCCTTGTCTCCTCTGAATCCACCTCGCGTCTCTCAGTACCTCCTTGGCGCACCGTAGTATGATCTCCACAAGTCGCTTTAGGTCACTCTTCTCTTCACGGTGCAACTTCCACTATCGGATCCTCCTCTCGGTTCTACCTTGTCTTCTGTCCTTTGGGAGGCTCCATGGCTATGTCTGTCTGTTGTTTGTGCTGGGGAGCCAGCTCCTCGACAGGGAGTACCTCGACGTCCTTCACAGTCTGAGGAAGATCTTTTTACCAGCACATTGTCGATTTCAGTTGTCGTCCTCACTGGTGTAGGTGACCTTATGAGTCTCCCCTTTCGTGCTGTAGATTGCCAGATCGTGGGCCATAGCCAGGTCCAGGACCCTCTCTCCCTCGGCGTTCCTCACTCCTATTCCTTTACCTCCGTGCACCCTTTCAAAGCCTCTTCTTTCACTGCCGACGTGGCCATTCAGATCACCTGCTACGGTCAGGTAATCGCCTTCCGGAATCGTTTTGATGGCATCGTCAAGGCTGAGATAGAAATTGCGGCGCGTACAAGGGAAGTATGGTCCAGTACCCCTCCTTCGTGTCTATCCTCACGGCCATGATCCGATTGCTGATCCTGTTCACAGCGAAGACATAGTCCTTGAGCGACTCCGCTACCGCTATGGCCACACCCTTCCGCTTGGTGTCTTCTCCATTGTAGTAGAGTTTGACACCTTTCCCGATTTCCCTGACCTTAGCACCTTTCCATCGCGTCTCCTGAAGGCATAGCGCTTGGATGTTCCTGCGCGTCATCAGATCTGCAACTTCTCAGGACTTCCCAGTTAGTGATCCTACGTTTAGAGTACCTATTCGAACTAGCTTCTTTGGCCGAGGCATACTGACCGCAGAACTCGGGAGGTTCTGCGCGCCACTTCCTTGTGACGTCCTAGCTTTATTACTGATTCCTTTTTCGACTCTAGAAATATGTGACGGGGGTCTTCATCAGCTGGCCTGTCAACCTGGGTCTGACGCTGGTATTAGAACCATTTTTGCAATTTTCGCAAGGCATGGTTAACCTTGGCATGGATCGAACTCGCAGTTTTGCAGAGGTGCAGACATGAGTCTAACCACTTAACCACTCGGCTATCCCTGCCTCAACCGAACATGCATATGCATATTGCATTATATCCTAATATTGCATCTGGTTGAACAGACCACGGAGAGAAATCACTGGACACTCCGGCAAGATAGACCGCTTGTACACAAAGCAAATATTCTGCAATATTCGGTTTGCAGAACTTCCCGAATTCATGACATTGAACGAGTGGCAGCCTCATTCTCCCATTCTGAAACAAGTGGGTTATTTTCCGTTTCCGGTTCCGGTTTCCGGAGTCTACCGAAGACTATAGGCTGCTACAAGTATCACTAAAGCATCGATGATTCAAAGGAAGTCTTAGGGAATGCTTGATGTTACCTACCTACACAACAGGCACGATGCGTTCCTGAAATGACTTGACTCCGGTATAAACGCAGACAGCGGCCAGTTCAAGAAGTGATGTTGTATTTTGTTGAGTAACTTCCTATGAATACAATGTTGGTGTCCACGTGTGTCTTTCTGGCGGCATTGCTTTTCCATGAACACTTTATCTTGTTACCGTAATTTTGCCTACCCTGTATATGCATAAGAAACGAGGCAAAAGTTCTGTTCAGAATTCACTGATTATGTTAGAACTTTATTACTGCATATTCTACTATTGTTTAGGTGCTACTACAGCGGCTACTACCGCCACTGCTGCGGCTGATGACGCAACAAGCACAAGTATGTCATTCAGATGTCCACTAATTTCTAGTGATTTGTTCTGAAGAATAATAATCTGTTAAAAAACGAATGGCAATGAATCACATGTTCAATGTGCCTAGCATGAACCAGTGATCAAATACGAGATCGATTCCCAGTTGGACCGTAAAAGTCTCACAACACACTGGGGTTGAAATTAGTGCCAAAATCGCCTGAAAACTTCTAACTTGTTTTTTGGCTGTGTAGGTGTAGGTGCATGCATGCAAGTGCAACTACATCCTTACAAAACTTGTAAGTCGAATTGGTGGCGCAATTCAAATCCAAGTCAAACTCATCTTTATACCTATAAAGGTACAATTCCACCAGCTAGCGAAACTCCTACGGCAGGCGAAGACATCACTGTTGCCACTGTTTCCGCTCCTTTAGGTGATTATTTTTGATTGGATATTATTAATCGTTCCCATTACCATAACATAGTATGTGGTACAGTGTCATCAACCAAAGCTTCCACGGCAGGAGAAGACACCACTGCTGCCACACTTCCCACTCCTTTGGGTGATTATTTATCATTCGACATTTTTAATCGTTCCCATTACCATAAGATAGTAATGTGGGTACAGTGTCATCGACTGGCGAAGCTTCCACGACAGGAGAAGACACCACCGCCTGCCACAGTT